TCAGAGCAACAGAGTAGTGTGTCTTGAGACCACACACACACACAGAGCTCCTCATTGTTTTTCTGGACCAAGATCTTTCAGTATGTAAACCCAGAATCAGATGTTGATGATGATGATGATGATGATGATGATAATAATAATAATAATAATAGCAACTTGATAGGTGGATAAAAATGCCAAATCCAGTCTAAACATCTGGCTGACTGTGCGACCAACAATAATAACTTGATAGGTGGATAAAAATGCCAAATCCAGTCTAAACATCTGGCTGACTGTGCGACCAACAATAATAACTTGATAGGTGGATAAAAATGCCAAATCCAGTCTAAACATCTGGCTGACTGTGCGACCAACAATAATAAACATATTAAACTTGTACGCCACTCAACTTAACGACTCTGGCTTAGAATGTCTTCATCTCTTTCTCCATGCTTCCATTTTAGCATCATGCTTATTTCATTCACAAATACTACAGGTAGTTTTGCTATGGCTCCACCCTAGTGGTGATTAAAATGGGTAATACCTATACCACACTTTTTCCTTCTAGAATGGGTTGATGGATTCTCCTTATACTCTCCTCTGGGTTGCATTGTTTGCCAGTATTTTCTTTCTTGGGTTTTTAAAAAATGTCAAAGAGTTGTTTGGTCATATTCAGAGTCTTCCTGGTGTAATACTCCCTCTCCAATCATACTCTATTCCATTTATGTTTCCCACCCCATTCCAACAGCCAGGTTGCCATGCTCACCCAATATGACGTTTTTCCCCTAATTTGGTAAGCCCAGGGCTTTCTTAACCTGATCTTAGTTACATTTCGTATTTGGATGAAGTTGGTTTTGTTTTTTCATTCTCTTTGCTTGCGTGTGTGTGTGTGTGTGTGTGTCTTCAAGAGTCTGTACTCGCTTGAAGGGATTTGGCCTGAATACTCATTGTTACATTGCTATACTTTTATTCAGCTTGACCTTGAGTTTGCATTATTATTATTGTGCTGCTGTTGTCAGGCCATCATTCACTAGTGTTCTGATTCTCTGAAATAAAGTTACTTTTTATATGTCATCTTAAAGCTTCCTTGGTGCTGGTACGAGTCAAAATTCTCATATGTTCTGTCTGGGAAAGCAAAGGAAAGGAATTGCCCACTTAAGTGAAAGGAAAATTGTTAATAATGACAATTTAACTTTATTATGGTTGTGCTTTTTTTTGTCTTGGAAATTATTAATATTGTTATGAACAGTGCTTTGTTTTATTCTTCTTCCCAATATTCAGTAACAGAATTCACTATTCCCATTTTGCAGATAGGGAACAGCAGTTAGAAAATGTAGACTTACCCAATGACATTCACTAGTATTTCCCATAAGTCCCCATAGAGTTTTGAACTCGATTGAAGCAGGACTCCTATGCTATAATCAGAGGTATGGAAGATGGAAATCTGATGGTATAATCTGATAGGGTAAGGACAATTGAGTTCAGTGAACTTTACTCCCACTTTAGTCTATTTTGACCTACAGAACATTGCTGGCTTAGAGAAAGCATATAGATTCTTGGGTTTCCTTCATATTTGGAATGAACAAAGTCTAATAACCCAGGACAAATTAATTTATAAGTTGATTTCTTTATGAAAGGGTAGATAAGAAGTAACCTGGAATATGTTTCGTAGCATTCATCAGAAAGAATGGAAATCAAATTTACCCCATGATATTTCTTCTATATTAAGATTAATTATATGGAGGAAATGCAGAGAAAATACACACACCAGAATGGTAAGCACGAAACATAAACTAACCCGATGGGCTAGGTCTGTTGTACAATATTCTAAGCTGCAGCTGTTAACTTAAATGAAGCTTAATATGTGCATCACCTCCTCAATCACCCAAAATATCATTTCTCTCTTCCTGCTTGGCCTCCAAGCTCCTACGTGGCCTGAAAGTCTTTGTCTCTTAGCCGTACCGTATCTGGGCTGTAAAAATCTGGATGCTGACTGGGAAAAAGTTTTTCTCTTTGCAGTATGTCTATTCTCTATCCCCTTGTTCTTTGACGGGCAGCAAAGAAGGGGAGAGCAAAAAGCTTAACAGCAATTGCCAGGGAAGCTGTCAAGTCCTTTGAGGACTCTGCTTCCAGTTCAGGCTGCTGGATTTTTGCAGCCCACGTATGGTAGCCCTACCCTGTGGAATCAGTCTATTGTAGGTGTGAGGCAAGAAGTGGGTGACAAGGAGTAACTAGTGAACCTCTATGCCTGCAGACTCCAAAACTTCTGCCTTCCCTGCCTTCACACCACTGAGTCTAAGATGCTGTGTTCAGAAGAGTAACCTATTAAGATTAAATCTCGTAGGCTGAATAATCTGTTTATGCCCTCAGTGTAATAATCCTAAATCAAATCTTTTCTATGATCTCCAGAAATGCAACCTTCTGTATAGATTTCATTTTCCTGCTGGTGATGAGGAAGCACACATACACATACACTGTGCCCAAATGTTAGATTCTCAATTAGATTTAATGGGTAACCACACACCTTCCTTGTTGGAAATGCCCAAATCCCACATAATCTCTACTTACCCGTGGCCCTTTGAATTCCTTTGCCAAGGCAATGAGCAGAAATAATTATGTGCAGACTCAACAGACATCGGTTGTTTTTGCTGCTGGGAACCAAACTGTGCTAACGGGTCAAGGAAGATTGCCAAGGCTAGAGTGTTTAACATACATGAAGATGGGTTTGTGAATGGATATGAATTATCTTAGTTTGATCCCTCATCAACGAGTCTCTCCTTTTTCCACTGATTTGTTGACTATTTTGGCCTTCCCTGTGTGCTGTCTTACAAGCCTTGAGATTTCTTATGTATTTGGTTAATGTTGTTGGCCTGCTAGATCACGGCCTTCAGTCTGCAGAATCTGCACAACTGTTTTCATCACTACCTATTCTTGCTGCACGGTACGGTCTCAGCAGTTCTGTAGAACATATTCATGAACGAGTCTTCACTTTGAAGAAAATAACCCAAATCCTTTTCTCTTTCCCTACCATTAAAAAACTGGGTACAGTAAAACCTCACTTTAACAGACAATTTGGGGAAAGGTGTCCATTCAATCCCTAAGTCTGAATTTACGTCAGTTTCATCAATTAATTGACATAAGTGATGTCATTTTTAGTAAAACTTAATTTAAGCAACAAACACTTGATTTAACGCATATTAGTCTGTTATATGGCAATGAAGTCTGGATTAACATTTGTCCTATCCAAGGTCTGTTAAACCAAGATTTTACTGAAGTTGTTTTGGTTACTGTCATTTGATTTTTATTATATTCACTGATATCCTTTAAATATATCAGGCTTGCAAGGCATATTTTAATATTCAATAAAATGAAAATGTGATAAAAATAGTGAGCAGTTTTAACTCTCAAAAGAACAAAACCAACAAAATTGCAGCAACAGTAATGTAACATTATTTTTTTTTTTTTTAAACGGAGCTTGACCATACTCCTCAAAGCTACTAATAAATGGTCTTGGGAGGCTTCCTTTGGAGAAAGTTCCAGGATTGCCCCATTCTTAAAGCATTTCAGGTTGTTTAATTAATTGTTTTGTGCTGTTGTTTGCAAAACACTTTAAGCATATGAACAGACTGTTGTATAAACAAAGTGTCCTAAATTGACTTGCCAGTGTGACCCAGCTGCCTGATCTTCATACAGTATATAGCATAGACATCCTTCATCTGGCCTGATAGAATAATATACCACCCCTGATCTCCTTCCTTTTATTTCTGTATTATTTTTTAATTTGTAATTTTTTAACAGCCTTGTTGAGCAGGTTTGATTTTAGGAGACTTGTATGTAATTAGATCTTCTATTTGCTTCTATTTGCTTCTATTGATTAGACCTTAGCTCTATAGTTTTAGTGATGGACTTCAAGGCTAAGACCTTAATTACATCTGAATGCATTTAAGACAAAACCAACTTTATGTTATCCTAGGGCCAGGCAAGTCAGTAGAAAAAGAAATTGGCACAGCACTCCATGAAAATCTTTCAAGGAAAATTTAAAACAAAAAACAGAAAGTTGATCTTGAATCATGGCCATATCAACTGCATTGATTAAATGAGAGGGCAGAAAGCGAGGTCATCTTCTGTCTCATGGGCAACATAGATAAAATTCAAGGGCAAAGTGGTTATTAGGCAATAATTTACATATCTTACTGTACTTGTTTATGTTTGCATAGCACTGTGTCTATTTTTATATGAAGTCAAGTATTTCTAAGCAATGTTGCTTAAAATCTGGACAGTAAAAAAAAGTGTTGGTGCATTTTTTGATTCCCAGTCTAATAATCTTGCAAGAGCCCAACATCCCTCTTCTGTCCCCCACATATTCCTCTCTCATCCATTGTTTATAGCCATGCTCCATCAGGAAGTCACAGAGTACAAGAAGGATGGGCCACTTGTGATCATCCAGACATAATTCAGAGGCAGCTTCCATTGGCCATATTCACTCTGGCCTGTTGTAAAAGATGTTGAAGTTGAAGTTCAGCAATATTTGGAGGGCCACTGAGGAAAGCCATTCTATTCTTTGAGATCTAACTACTTAGGTTCAGGCACTGTAACTATGAATAAGCCAGAGAGGGCTATAGAAAGGAGGGAATCATGCTTCATTCTTCCAGTAGCCTTTGTTTTACACTCTCAATGCCCTGCTCTCCATCTGCTTTCTCCCTGGCCCCTTGGATTACAGTGTGACATCAATTGTGTGTGGGTGGAAAAGGAGAAAAGTAGTTTTGTATGGTGGCTGAAAGACTTCTAGTCTTGGTTCTTTGTTCCATGATTTGCAGCTATTGGTTTTAAAATTGCACGGTAGGATTCTCTAATGGGTCACTTCATGCTTTCTGTTATGTTGGTTCTGGTTGTTGAGGGAAAGGAGAGAGTATCTTTTAAAGAAATCCTGGGAAGTTTGGGGACAAAACAATTCATTTTATTCTCCCATTCTCTTTATTTTGCAATTCATTTTCTTTCCCATATTCTGCTTGATTTTTCAGATGTGAGTCAAACTTCCATCACAGGGGAACAGTGTCAGCTCTTAGGTACAGTATTGCAGAAGACTTTTATGTGTGTTTGTGGTATGTGTGTTTGTGGTAAATGTATGTTATCCTGTTATTAACAGATCAGCTTAGGTGTGGGTATGAGAACACACATCCCTGTTGTCTGCACTGTATGGGTGAGCAGAGGGAAGCTTCGTGTGTGTGGGGGAGTATGTTTGTGTCTGAGAGAAAGAGATCTAATAAAATTATTGTGCAGTCATCACCAGCAGAAGTCATAAATTTTCCATAATGAGATGCTGCTTTTAAGTAGATGTGTTTATAAATGTCTGTTTTCCTGGTTGACTATATTCTCTGAAGGAGCAGTGCAACTTCTTAGTTGCATGGATTAAATTCCCATGAAAAGAGAATGGACATACTGATATAAGTAATATATTTTATCTAAAAATGATGAATACCTTTTCCGGATTATCTTCACTTCTGCTTTAGTATGTGTAAAAATACAGAAATGCTTCTTCCTGATCAGTTTATTTTTGTAGCATTTGGATTCAACTTGACTTCATTTCAGCACAAAGTAGCTTTATCTCTCCTTATTTATTTATTCAATTTATAAGGCCCCATCAAGCGTACAGTTAAGTATAAAACCATCATTAAAAACAATACAGAGTCAATACAATACAATATTCAAGGTAGGCACCATTGAGAATGCCATTTTTTCTGCAAAGAAGAACTTAGACCAGTGGAAAAATATTCAGCTGTTCTATAGGTTATCACGGTAATGACAGTGAACTCAATTTTGCTTTTTTATATCAGGATGGGTATCAGAGATTTGGGGTTGTTGAAACAGGATTAACATGCTTTTGAAAGATCAGGGACTCCTGCATCTTCGGTCTGGGAAAACTGACTGGATAGCAGTAGCAGATGGTTATCTCTGTTTAAGTGTCTGTAGGGTTCCTTAGATACAGAGTCAGCAAAACTATATCACCAAAATAGCCTGGAACTGTTTGTTCCAGTACACTGGGGATGTTACCTTAGGATAACAATTCAGTGAAAGCTCATTCCTACTTGATTTAGTAGATTTTGCATATTCTGATAGCAGAATCTGGAAGATAGAGTTCTATACTGTACCTTCGCTCCCCTAAAATAAATTCAGCTCCTCCATTTTCCCTTTCCCATGTATATAGCTGGCCAATTAACAAGCTATTTATTACTCCTATATGAGCAGAATAGAGAAACAGCATAATCTTAGCTTTATTATCCCCTTTGTTCTGAAGGCTGAGAGAAATGGTGGGATTCCATGCCTCAAGCCTATTGAGGAGGTCCCAGCAATAAATGCTGCTGAGGGCCAAGTGTGTGACTATAATTTGTAATTTGCTTCCGTTTAGAAGACCAGCAGCCATAGTCAGTATTTTCTTGCTGATCTGCCTGTTCTGAGGCAATGATATGAATGAGAGATTTTTCTGTCAAATGGTACGTGTGTAACATGTGTTGGTACACACATGGAGTCCAGAAACTGACATGAGCTCATATTTGGGGAGTGGATAAAAGGCTTCGGCCTTCTGTTTGGGTGAGTGAATCAGGAGAATGAAAGACAATTATTAGTTTAGCATATAAAAAAAGGCTGGGACGGTTGGAATTTTCTTTTGAAAAGGGCACCAATCTGATTTTTTTTTTTGAGTATATTACACTGATAAGTAATTTTAGAGCATCTTTACTTAAAATGCTTTATTTCCCAAGATAGTTATTCTGTTTTTCTAGCCTTCATGATTGTGAACAAGAGTTTATAAAAATGTAGGAAGTATGGTGAAATTATAAAAAGGACTATAAATAGATGTGTAAAGAAACAGCACTTTCTTAGCTCCGTCTAATGATCTGACTTTTAAGAAATTCTCCCTCCCTCAAGGTTGATCTTAGATTTTCACCCGAGAAGAATTTTCCTAATCAAGACTTTGACAGGAGAATTTGGCACGCTCTGTATCCTTGAAAACTATATATGAATCTCTTTCAAAGACTTACCACTTTAATAAACGAACCAGTGATAGCTATGAAGCCTGTTACCAGTTTCTTTGCTAATGAATTTAAAATTAAAGAATGATGTCACAGAACCTTACAGATAAGGTTTTAGAACTTGGCTGCCTCTTTTTCAGTCCGTTCCTCCGGAAGCTCCAGAAAAGAAGAACTGGGTGATGGTAGACAGTCCTCCAAGACAAAAGCAAGTGTGCGCTGGACAGCAACGTTGGCCAGACAGATTCCTGGCATTATGTAATGGAGCACTTGCATACTCACACTTTGAGATGTGGTGGGTTAGCTCCTCTGGCCCTCTCAAATGGTGGTTCCCTATACCATACAATTCCTACTGCTGCAACCTCCCACAGTCTTGTGGGGTGAAGAGGTGTGTCTGTCATTGCCACCACCCCATTTACAGAGAAATTTCCTCTTTGCTCCTTTATTCCAAAGGAGAGATGTGTTCTTGCTCTTCTGTAGCTAATGAAGTAGCCAGGATGCATTGTAAGCTAAATTCTCTGTTAGAACAAGATGACTGATTTCAGAAAAAAAATCACGTTATTTATAATGGGGATTAATATTTGAGGAACCTGTTTACCATTAAAAGGACAATGTGGGAAGAAAGGAGGAAATTCAGATTCTTGTAAGCAGCAAAGGCGTTACACATGAATGCATGCAGATACAGATAGAATAAAATAGTAGCAAGGGCACAACAGCTCAGAATAATCCATAATACAGATTAACAGAAGAATTCTAATGGCATCTAATTCCACCTCTTCCCCTAGATGAGTAATTTCTTCTAATTCTTCAGTCCTCATTCCAGGATTGAGGCAGTTGATCCTTACGGGGCAGATGCCATCTGATTCCAAATTCCAAAAGCCCCCTTCTGTGATGAATGATAAAGGCAAAATAGAGCAGGCCCCCTCTCCTTTTAAAAGCTCACCTGAGAAAGGGGGAAAACCTTCTGGCTCCTGAGTGGTTACTCAGAATTTGAATTCCCCAAACTTTGGTGGTCTCTTCCTTTTGTTTATATTAGCAAATTGAATTAATGTTTTCTCCCCCTTATTTCTTCTTTCTCAATGTTCCCTGCCTACTCTTTATGACAGATCTCTTCCCTAGGATATTAGAAATTGGCTCCTGGGAGATATTTCTTTTTATCAGCTGAACAAGCAAGTGGCTAATGGTCCTCCAGCAAAGATTTATTATTCTTGTTCCTCTACAGATAGAGCTCCAATGTCCAGAGCTGGAGAAACGTTTATTGTTTGCCACACGTGGGCTATTCTTTCCTTTCCCTTGAGCCTTACTTTCTCTTCCATGTTGCAGATCCTGCATACAAGAAGGATCCCCATGCGTTTCTTAACAATATCAACTATGAAGATGGTGATGAATTCTTTGACAAGAATTTGGCGCTCTTTGAGGTGAGATCACTACTCATTGCTGTTGGTTCACTTTCTTTTCCCACTTTCACCTCATACTTTCCATATCAATCTACATCCGCATTTCTTCTTCCTTGTACCCATTAATATTATTTATGAGTATGACCTTTCCTCTTCATTCATGTTTCTGTGCTCTTCCAAGTCCATAAAAAAAGTGCAATGACTCTGATTCTGCATGTTGAAAATCTTCTGCCTGTCTTTTTTAAAGGACGCTTCTAGTAATTGCAAAAACAGATTTGATAAAGAGGCCAATCTTGTTGGTTGAGTTTTCTGAAAGCCTGAGGGAGATGTAATGAAGATGCAAAACAAGAAACATATATGTGAATATATAAGCCTGTAGAATTACTACCCTGTTTATAGCCTACTCTTGTTTCTTTTAGCTTCCTTTCCTCATCACTACTTTCAGTACTTCATTGATTTCTTTCTTCATCCATCTTAAAGGGACTTTTCACTGAAATATGTTCTCATGTCTACTGTCCTCTGTCCCACTTGGTAGGAGGAGATGGATACCCGACCCAAAGTGTCTTCCCTGCTCAATCGAATGGCCAACTACACCAACTTGATGCAGGGAGCCCGTGAACATGAGGAGGCAGAGAATGTCCCTCCAGGCAAGAAAAAAATCACTAAGGTGAGGAATGACACCAAGACGGTTTATGGGAGGCATGAGAAAAAAGAAATGTGTTTAAGATCAGGACTGACAGAATTGATACTTTTCCCCATAGTTATAGTAGAACTAGAAAAGTCTACTGTCCTGAACATTTGACTTCCCCAAAATATGCTCTGGGCTTCTTCCAAAAGTACTAAAATAGTTTTTTGTTTGGCCTGGAAGAAATATATATTTCAGAATCCTTGACTTTTACATATAATTTTTGAGAATTAAATGTAGTAGGATTAGATTAACAAATTGCCAGAGATACTGTATAACATTTTTTTTTTCATTTTGCTCTGTATACCTCACACATACGGGCTATATGTGCCTTCCCAGACTTTCTGAGAATTGCAACTTCCTCAGAAGCTGCACTTTGGTAGGTCTTAAAGATTACCTCGAAGCTGATTAGGCCCAGTGGACTTAACTGATATTCACCTTAATTCTTTTTGACCACCATTGAGTCAGCATCTAGGAAAATACTATCACCTATCCTTAGGTTAGAGAATAGACTGGCCTGGATATTGCAATTAATGAATCTTGAGAAGAGGGCAGGATCAAGGAAACAGAGCTGTGGAATAGAGAAGTAACAAGTTTTCATTGTATAGAGATGTTTGGTAGAGCAAAGTCAGAAAGCTTGATTTTAACACTCTGCCCGTCCTCCCTCTCTTCTCCTAGACTCCGCAGATGGGCACGTTCATGGGAGTCTACCTACCCTGTCTGCAGAACATCTTTGGAGTGATTCTCTTCTTGCGTCTTACTTGGGTTGTGGGTACAGCTGGCGTGCTGCAAGCCTTTACCATTGTCCTTATTTGCTGCTGTTGTGTAAGTTACCCTCTCATATTGAGCTTGTATTACAGTGTGTTACAGCAGTCTTTGATATAGAGGAAGGTTGGGGGAGAAGGAAACCTCTGTTCTTAGGGAAGGAGAAATTACCCTCACCAACTTTAGCCCCCCATGGCTGAGAGGCCATTACAAAAATAATGCTCTTTGTAGAATAGTCACTTGTTGTGTCGAGATCAGTGGTGATCTTTATTTCCATGCCAGTTCTCCCCTGTCTTTGGTCAACCTATTGGTGCATTTTTGGAAATATCCATCTTGCCACCTGATTAAAACTATTTTGCTCAATTTTCTGAAGAACAGGATACTTCTACCTTGTCATTTTGTCTTCATTACATAATACTAACAATAAGGAAAACTAAAGGGGAATGTGCACAATGGGAAAAAAGGCAAATCAAGAGTTGTCAAAATAATATCCAAAAGTTATAAGATCTGTCAGTGATTCTTAACACATTATAAACGAAGAATGGACATTTGTGTCTGCCTGTATTTGTCTCCTAAATACTCCTGCTGTCTATTTCTTGTCTTTTCCTTAGACATTGCTAACAGCCATCTCCATGAGTGCCATTGCCACCAATGGAGTTGTGCCTGGTAAGTACTAACATTTTAAAAATCACTTCTCCCACATGTACCAGCCTTCAAATGCCACTCATTTTCAAATATCCTCCTGACTCCTTCACTCTCAGAAGTCTGGCGATTGATACGGAGAAAGGTCCGTTTCAGTGGTGGCACTCAAAGCACGGAATTCTTTCTCTAACCGTGGTCATCTGTCTTTTGTGTGCTGATTTTGTTCCGCTGTTTGTTTCACTGTAACTGAATTGGTTTTTGAAAGCCAGCCGGAGGACCTTATGAAAAGTGAGGGGGTTAGAATGTGTAAGAAGCAGGGATAATAAGATTTCCTCTCTGCATATTCTCGCTGTTGGAAATGAGCTTCTTTTGTCACCTTTCTGCAGCTGGGGGTTCATACTTCATGATTTCACGAGCCCTGGGACCTGAGTTTGGAGGAGCTGTAGGACTCTGCTTCTATCTTGGCACTACCTTTGCTGCTTCGATGTACATCTTGGGGGCTATTGAAATCTTCCTGGTAGGTATTCAGTACCCCATAAGAATACCCGTAAGACAGTGTTGTCCAAACTTGGCCACTTTAAGATGAGTGGACTTCAACTCCCAGAAT